GAAGACCCCCAACGAGATAGACTGGCCAAGTGGTAGCATTGATGGACTCAAGCGTGGCAACAGTAGTCAGGTTGGCCCAGGATCAGGCAATGTTTCATTCTGCTGTGCATAAGGTCACTATGGGTCAGTACTAACTACATGGCACCTAACAACAACAACAGCATAATGAATGGATTGAGAATATAAAGATCTGCAGAATGATGTGGGGAGATTATCATTTGCCAGTTCTTAAACTTACTTTCATGTGGAGTAGCATAAAATTATTGGTCTCACTTTACCCTTCATTGACTCCTTTCATATGATATGAAGTATCCAGATTTAGTGTACTGCAAGTGAGATTCTTGAATGAAAATGATAAGTTCCATCTCTTCCCCTATCTCTTCTTTTACAGTTAACTATATGAAGTGTGTTATTTTGTTCAGCCCCTCTATGTTATGCATTTTATAGAGGCAGCTCCTATAACAGAATAATTCTACTACTGCCTGTATAAGGAACTCTGATAGCATTGTGGTTACGAATCTGGCTGCCAATCTCACGGTCAGCAGTTCGAAACTACCAGCTGTTTCGCAGGAGAAAGATGAGGCTTTCTGCTCCCATGAAGATTTATAGCCTCAAAAACCCTGTACAGGGTCACTATGAGTCCGAACTGACTCCACGGCACATAACAACAATAACAACAACACGGCCTCTATAAAATCTATCAATTTCTGATGCCTACAGTTAGGATTGTCACTGGCCCGTGTTTATACGTCACATACAAGAGATCTGATGCTGTTCCCAACCTGTTTCATTCACAGCCATCACCCATTTGTTAATGGAGGCTTGCATGCTACTATGATATTAAAAGAGTTCTGATGTGGCACTGTGGGTTAATGCTCTGGACTGCAAAGTCAGTTTGAACTGTAAGGACAGTAGTTGAAGCTCACCAGCTGTACCTCAGAAGCCCTATACAGGTTTGTTGGGAGTCAGAACCAACTCCAAGGCACTTAGAAAGAACACCAGAACATGATACTGAAGAAGTTTCAGCAAAGTTTGCAAACTAAGACAGACTAGTTAGAAAGGTCTGGTAATGTACTTCTGAAATCAGCCAATGAAAATCCTATGAATCATATGATTCAATAGTTCATGAGTAGCCAACCTGATAACAGCTAACCACAATGTCAATATTAATTTTATCAGCAATAAGGGTGATGTATTATCTGTCTTCTTTTAATTTTTGTTTCTCAAATATTCTCAATTTAGGTAAAGAAAATTAATTAGTTGCTGCCTCAAACACGTACTCTACAATAAGGATTTTGTTTGTTTTTGATTTTTGTCTTGGTGAAAAGGGGACATTAGGATGATTTGTCACTTCTCAGAGCATCTCACTGAGCTCAGTGGAAAACAAAAATTACCCCCATATGACTGTCATTGCCTAAAAATACACTTTAACTAGGAAATATAAATGTTCTCAATTTGAGGAAATGCATAACTATTTAAAAATACACTTAAGTGACTGATTAAAATGTTGTGGGAACTATTTCAGCAATGTTTGAAGTATCTTCAATTGTGACTTTAGCTATGGGACTGTTTCAGCTTCATTAAATTTATATCCATATAGACAATGTATTCCTTTGTATCTCAGTGTCTGCATTTCACACTCCCAGTATGTTGCTGCTGTTGTTGTTAAGTGTCATCAAGTCAGTTCTGACTTATAGCAACCCTGTATAGGATTTCCAAGGTGCAGCTAGTAGGATTGATCTGCCAACTTTGTGGTTAGCAGCCAAGTGTTTATCCTCTAGTGCCACATATCTCTAATATAACATGAGCTTTTACAATCATCACTGTTCTCATAATTTGAGAGTGTGGCACTGTAAGATAAGCAATGGACTGCTAACCATGAGGTCAGCATTTCAAACCTACCAGCTGCTACTTAGAAACCCTGTAGAAAGTCACTATGAGTCAGAACTGACTAGACGACACTTGACAATGATGACGACAATGATGTTGAAAAATACTCTTCACAAATCTATTTGAGGTTATGGAGAATGATTCCCTTCCCAGGAAGTAGATTTGAATCATTCAAGGACATGTAACTTGGTTTATCTCTATCCACAAAGATATTTTCAGCTTCTTTGTGCCATAAGGAAACAAATCGGTATCCCAATCATGTTGGTAAATCTTAGCCTAGTAAGAAGACTGTGAGGGGTATACATACTGCCTTCTAGTATTTTTGAATAAGTTTGTGTAGACACCTTGTCCTGAGATGCTCTTGAAGGCTAAGTAAGGATGTTGTTCTTGTTAAGTGTTGTAGATTCAGTTTTGACCCATAGTGATTCTGAGAAGTGGCTGGTGAGCTTGAGCCACTGACCTTGCAGTTTAAACTGACTGTGCAGCCCAGTGCATTAACCTACAGTGCCACACCAAGACTCCTAAGTAAGGATAAACTAGCAAACTGTGGATTAATGAGAAAATAAATTTCTAACAATTATGGCTGTCTTGCCATGAAACAAGCTGAGTAAACTCCCTTGGGTCATCTCTTGGTGATGTGCTTAAAGGGAGAGTCTCATCAAGTCCAGTTCAAGTATGAGAACTGATGATGCTATGTAAGCTCTGCACATAAGCAAAACACAAAAATATTTGGATTCAATTTTTGGAAGAGAAAAATTTAATATATTTTATCTTATAATACATCCCCCTAAATAATTACAAAGTCAATAGCTGCAAATATATTCTGCTACAAAGCTTTCTGTAAGAAATATCTCTATAAGAAAATACATCTCATTAACATTTCCTGTAAATAAATTACTTCAAATAATAATTTTTGAAGAAGTGAACTTAAGGGAAATAATTCAGAAAACAGACTGTAAGTGTAATTATGGTATAGGAAATGTTTGTTTGAAATGTTCCATATTTGTGTCTCTAAGCTTATAGAAACCTGTCTGTATAAAGGTTAAATTTTGAATAGATGAATCTATCTTTTTTTTTTTTTTTTTTTTTAAGCAGGCATGTGGGGGGAACATAAATTTTAATCATCCTACTAAGTGCATGTGGGAAGCTGAAATTCTTAATAGATATTTAGGCTCAGGTTTAAGTTCTATGGTAGAACTTGAACCTGAGGTAAGCAAACAGAGCTTAACTAACAAAATGTAAAGAGTGACATGTGGTTATTAAACAAACAAACAATAACAGAAAAAGAGTGAAATGTATGGACTATAAGATAACCCTGTTGTCATTTGTGTTGTAGACGTAATATTTAAAACTGTATACAGTTTGTTTTTTAAAATAATAATATGGTTTAAAGAATTTAGAACCTATAGTTACTATGGAGTAACAATATGTAGATGTTACTGTTGTTACATTTATATTTTTGAACCTAAGTGGATCCAAAAAACAGAAACTATATTTTTGGCATTACAACAGTTTCTGCTCAGAGAGGTGGTGTAGGAAAAGGAGATGCTGATTGTGGACAATGGTATATCACTACATTACCCAGGACTCCATTTCATGAGACTTATTCCTTTTAGAATTATTTTAGGACCACAAAATGCAAAATCGATATTTTGAGGATAACAAAGTTAAGAAACCTCACATTGAACTAATCTGCCTTCTGAGTACTGTGATAGCAAATCCCATAGAAAACTTCCAATTAGATTATGTTATTTCTGGGTTCGAATAGTCAGTTTATGCTTCAGACATAAGATCAACATGTTGTCAACCCGGTTATGTAATAAAGTTTTTTTTTTTTTTTTTTTTCTAGCTACATTAGTACAAGAAAGATACGGTTCCAGACTTGATCAATTTTACTTTATAATTCTGGTGAGTGTATTAAGAATACATGTATTTGCTAGACTAATCTATCAAAATGTTGGGAATGACAAGCTTAAAAAAAATAATGAACGCTCCATTAGTTTTGCTTCCTACTTATATTTTGGAAATCTTGAAATTTTTGTCAGATTATAAAAATTCTCCTTTCTGTATATATGTGCTTTGCAATTCAAAATTAACGGGTATAGTTTGACAAATAAAACACATTCAGGATAAAGATACTCTATAATCAAGAGATCTGCAACATAGATTTTCTTAAATTTGAGTAGATTGCCTTTTTCTCACTGTGCTAGCTAATGTAGATGGAAAAAAAAACAACAACAAAAAACTTTTTCAGAAATGTAAATAAGTAGTTTGAGGCAAAACAAAATAAAACAAAATACATAGGTCCTGATAAAAGATTTGAAGAATATGGTGGTTTCCCTCCCTTTTTTTTTCTTTCTTTGTCTACTAAGGACTTTAAATAAGAAATAGTTTCTAAATTAAAATATGATTCTTTGTTGCAAATTAAGTCTCTCCATGTCTTTATTTCCTGTTGACCACCATTTTCTTGCTTTAAAGCCTATTATATGACAAGGTATACTGCAAGAAGACTATTTTGATAAAACTATGACTTTGTATAGAAATATGGCTTTCAGGTTATTTTTATAAACAATCAGTAATCTGAAGGAAATCCATCCTCCAGCACAACTTAAACTATTAGGAAGTCATATGGTCTTCATAAGTAATTTCTACTGTGTGCTTCTTTTTTGTTACCCCCTTTTTTTAACAATAGCATTTCCATAAGTGTGTACATTATTTACATGAACAAGTTGCATAATGGAAACACACATTTGTCACCCATTCTCAATCACTCAGTTCTCTTTTTTTTTCTCTCTCTATAACCTGCATTTTTATTACATGCCACATTCTAATCATCTTATGAGTTTCAGCGCTTATTTTCCATCATGCTATAATGCATTAAATACACAAATTCACAGTCAGCTAGTTGTGCTTTTCCCCATTGGTGATCAGATTTTCTGACACACATGAAGTCTTGCTTTGGATGAGTAGGTGGCATCTTTCCATACTTTGCAAGAAAGACCTTTTGCACAGTCACACCGCTGAAAAATTTCCAGCCCATGAGAACCCTTCTTGCGCTGTTTGGTACAGACTTCCCCCTGATGGAGAACTGGTTTGCAGATTTTGGTCCAGAAGTGACGGGCACAGCAAAACCCTTCAATGCAGTCTGTTGATCTCAGACAGGGGTCTCCTTCATGCCCTAGAGAAATGGTGAATAAAAGATATGATTATGACACTCTAGAAATAATTATATTTTATAATCAGAAGCACATAAAATAATTTTATTTTTATTATCTGCTATGATGTTTTCGTTTATAATAGAAAAATCTTAGATACATACCAACTGAATCTTCCTCTAATCTCTTAGGTTTACTGACATTTGTTTCCTCTACTTAAGGATTGAATATCAAGTTTAATGAATCCTTCTTCTCTTTATTTAGTCAGGATGTAAAGCATTGGACTACCAACGGCAAGGTTGTTGTTGTTGTTAAGTGCCATCAAGTCGGTTCCCATAGCGACCCTGTACAGGGTTTCCGAGGGTGTAAATCTTTACGGGAGTAGAAAGCCTCATCTTTCTCCCGCGGAGCGGCTGGTAGTTTCCAACCGCTGACCTTAAGGTTCGCAGCCCGATTCGTAACCAAGGTTGGTAGTTCAAAATTGCCACCTGCTCCTTGGAAACTCTATACAAGGTTGTTATCAGTCATAACTGACTTGATAACACTTAATGACAACATATTTTAGTTATTTTCCTGAGTAATACATTTTTCCACTATGTTAGTGAAACAAAAATTAAAATAATTTCTTTCAAATTAGCTAATCATATACCTTTTGGGGAGGTGCAAAAAATGCTTTGATTCAAAGACAGGGATGAAATTTTCAGGTAGTACCAGGTATCAGTTAGTGTTCAACAAGAAACAGAATTTCTGAATATTTCAAACAGAGAATATTAAATGCAGAAATTTGATCACAGAAAGAGTTGTAGAGCAATAGGGCCAGAGGATGGTGAAGCAATTCACAGCTGTTACAGCTGAGGAGCTGAAATTACTAGGCAAGACTGGAATCATAACAAACCTATCTGGCAGAAGTAGCTAAATCCACAGGACATACAGCTACTGCCAGAAAGTCTACTTGAGAAAGTAAAAGTTGAAGAATATACTGGTTTATTCCTTCTTTCTGTCTTGTAACTTTCTACCAGTGCCACATCCAGACAACAGGCATCTGACAGGGAACTTGGGAAAAAACAACAACAAAAAGATTCCACTGTCATGGAGTCAATTCTGATTCACAGAAACCCTACAGCAGGAGACAGCTTCATCCTTCTTCTGAGGCTGGTGAGTCTGAACAAGTGACCCTGCAGTTAGGAGCCCAATGCTTATCCCAGAGCTCCACAAGAGCTTCACAGGGGACTGTTAATACAGCAGAGAAAAGACAGTCATTTGGAGAACCAACAGACATAGGGTTAGCCCAGAACCCACTGTTAAAAAAACATGATAAACACAGAAGGAAGGAAGGAAG